AAATTTACCACTTTCCTTGGATATTTCATACGTTGTTTCATACATTATATTTGTCAAAAGATAGGATATTATCGGATTTGTGTTATTATTTCGCGACATTTTTAAAATATTGACGTTTATAAAACATGTACACTATCTGGGATTAATAAATGTAAACGAAATTCTAATCGATTCCCATATTGTCCAAATATCTGTAAAATAAGTTACATTATATTAATATTAGGGCTGTGGTAATGGCTCATTTTCAATCCAGCTCCTAACACTAAAAGGACAACGCCGAAGCCACGTGCATTCAGAAAGCACCTAAATATTCTTAAGAATCTGGCTATATTTCCCGGCCATTCCCTTTGGTTTTGCAGCTTGTGATCTTGGGATAAGACAGGTCACTTAAGACATTCATATTTAATGTTGTAACATTCTGACCGTTCACTATTAACAACTATTGTCATAGACATCAAGAAATGATTGTGTGCCACAACTAGATTAATAAATAAACTGACCAGAATATATTTTACTTTAAACTTTCGAATATCCATTTTCGTACTTGGAAAATCAACTTCTAAATGCCATGAAGTTATGTCGATGCATTTATTTTGCAGAATTATAGGTAATCATAATCTTTATCAATTATTTCTATTGTGGTATTCCGGGTTGTGATGCCATATAGTGTCGCCAATGGTTACCAGCGCTTAGAAGTAACGTATCACCTCCATCTTAAGGGTAGAATAATTTATAAGACAGCTGACAATCAAATTCTTTATGACTTGAACGCGGCGACAAAATGCTATAAAATCTTCTCGAGTGACTAGCCGGATCCAATGACATTATTACCTGATGATGTAGGTAGTGAACGTCTCTGGAACGTTGAACTACGGATCCATATTGACGCGGCTAGTCGCCCGAGAAGGTTTTATATCTCATGAAGTAAACTTTGCAAAAATCCAAAAGACCATAATCGGCAACTTCATCGCAACAAACGGGGTGTTCATTTCTTACGCTATTATTTACATGTTGAATGAAACTTACACGTGATTTTTGAAAATATAGAAATAGATATATCGAAAAGTGAGAGTAAATATTGAAGTATAAAACGAATCTTCAAATATATTGAGAATGTAGGCCTATACTGCAAATTGAATTTTTGAATAAGAGAATAAAAGACAAAAATATGACTAACCATAACAAAGTAGCCTCCACTGAGTTCCGGTTCAAAAGCAATGAAGCTTAATAATAATTTCATAATTAAATGTTGTTCTTCGGTTTGTTGTTCGTGGACTTACTCGCTCAAACTCCATTGGCGCTGTAAATAATTGTCTTCGGATACGACTAGAAATTATTTTTATATTGTCATCATGTTAACCATCGCACCAAACAACCTCACGCTTCGCTTTAGATAATTCCTTCAAAGAAGACACAAAAACTTGTTTAAAGTCAAAATTTGCGTGGCAAGGAACTTGATTGATGAATGCACGAAGGAAATTTGCAAAGGGCGTGTTTTTTTTTTGCAACAAACTGCACGCATTGTGAGCGTCTCTTATTCATATTTAAGTACATGTAACTTAATGAACTAACACGAGCTGTGAAGGACGAGGGATTACCACGGAGCAGGCACTTGCATCGTGATGGCTGCAATGAATATTCATCAAACAGATAATGGTTATCTGATTGGTAGAAACAAGTAGACCAATCAGTATGGTGATTCTAACTGTAGTTATAAATAGGCAATTGCTTTTAAAATATTAGGTACCTATAAAATATGTTTGTAAGTTTTTATACATGATGCTTTCCAAAAGTTATGTAGTCCGATTAGAAGAATACAAATAAATCGACTTTATTATACGATTTTAATAAACATTTATGTACTAAACAATTGTTTAAATTATTTATCAGAAAATGACATCTGTATATTTATATAAATTAATAAACTTCATTCTGCAGAGTTCCTTTTAAAAGCGAAGAGTCGGTCAACAGATTAAAAATTTCTCCAACTATCTGGGACTCTGCCCTATTCTAAGCCAGATTAATTCAGTCCACCGTCATATCCTATTTCCTTAAGATCCATTTTAATATCATCCTCCTGTCTATAACTAAATCTCGCAAATGGTCGTCTCCGTTCATACTTTTTCAGCGAAATTCTGTGTGAATTTTCGAATCCCACATGCGTGCTAAATGCCACTCCCATCTCATCTTCCTTGAGTACCTTAATATTATTTGGTGAAGAGTTCCTGAATTTTCACCTATTTCATATGTACTTTATCCTGTTAGACCAGAGATGACAAAATTCTGTCAATAAAAAGTTATTTTTCTTCTCGCTCATTTTCCCTAAAATAAATTCTCATTTTAAACGTAATGCTATGCAATGACTCATAAACTTTCAGCATGACGACGATTGTCGAAGGAGATAAGGCAGCCTACAACTCAACCACGCAATGACCGTGCGCGTGAACGCGACCTCCTTCAGTTCAAGACATTCGCCTACTAATACATCCACAAATTTGCGATTAGACTCGCCATGTGTCGGCTTTACTGAACCCTCATGGCATGACTGTGTCATTAATGGAATCCTTCATCTAGATATATTTTGTTCCTGTTTCTTAAGTAGCCACAATACTTATGTTAATGTTCAACATAGAAAATAAATTAGTTGTTTATTGTTTTACGTATAAAATGAAACACAGGTAGTTGTCAGTCAAATTACACGACGTACAACATCGTTCGATGCGAGAATGACAAGTATTTTATGAGGGGCCATTTGTTTACCTTATTTTTTATTATTATAACACCGATTTTCTTGGGTTAAACCCGCAACCCCCTGATTTCCTGGTTGTTGCTACAAGATCTCTAGTAATAAATAAACTTTCTTACTGTGCGTCCTGTTAACAATTGCCTAGGTTTCTGTACTTCGGTGATGTGAATAACTCATTAAAGCAGAAACCATTGGTTCTTGTTATTCGGTATTCATCGATATTTTCTGCGTGTACACAAATTGAGAGCAGTGGATACATTAAATTAAATGCGGTCATTGGCAAAACAACGGAACTCGAAAACATTAAATTCGCTGTAGGCCAAACCTTACTGTCAAGTGTCTTTTTGAGAATGATTATAATTTGAGGACTCAGAAAGTAAATAAATGTTACTTAACGGTTTTTCTGATCTACAGGCTCTTCTTATCTGACTATTACAAGTGAAATTTAGTCGTCTTGAAGTAGACATCATTTAGGAGCCTGTTTACATTTTCTAGAAGCATACAGTAACAATTTATTTCGATGGAACAGGACAAATAAATCGCGAGTAACTGATTAATATTTGATAGCCGAGTTCTACATATACACCGTTTGGTAGGAGTTCCTTATTATCACTGAGACGCATTACAATATAAACAGAAAATGCAGTTATATTAATTTGCGATTAAATAAATAATGTCCTCCGTTGAGTTAACTGGCCACCATTTCTCGATGCCTACTCCAGAGGCGCGGTGTGGCGATGTCATCAATTAGTGCCGAGTCTAAAATAACTTTTTTTACTGATTGATGTGTGACCGTGTCTTGGCATCGGATTCACACTTGATATAGAGGTTAATAAATAGGTTATTTATAATTACATGGCATTTTTATAATTCTGAATCTGCTGTGCTCAAAACAGGAGAATCTAGCATCAAAAGACATTTAAAATTTCATAACTGAGAAATTAAATCTGAAAGTTATTTGTATAAATTAATAAATAACTCGTTAATTTCAATTGTGGTTTTTAAATCACAAATTGTTATTCGAAATACTGCATCAGCTAAAATTTGATAAAAGAAAATAATTAATATGTTTTATTAATACCTATTCACAACAGCTTACATACTTAAAAGGTTTACCTAATGTCTCGACAATTGCGTAACTTTGTCAATACTTGTAAATGTCCGAATATAAACCCTAGTACTGAAAAGAAAGGTTTCGAGATTTGGAACGCGCAAATTTTAGAATAAATGCCATTAAAATATTTCTAATGCACGTATAATACAAATCAAACATGTTACTTCAAACAGAAGTAACTTTTCATAACACGGCTTTTGTATTTGAAAATGCTATTAGAATTCGAATCTCAGAACCATTTTTTCATAAATATAGGTAACTACATAAGATAGTACAATTTTGGGGTTAAAGGGTGGAAGACAATGATGACGAGATTTATAGGCTGGCGTGAGCCTATTTGAACGCTACACAATTTGTAAACAATGTGCTTACTACGAAACTCGCCTAAAAAATTGGAGCGAACTGTTTAATTATTGAACCCACTTATTTAATACTTCATATTCTAGTATTTGACTATCCAGTGAGAAAACAGGATGTTCTCATCCTCTCTTCACCTTGATTTTATCACTTCGCTGATGTACAAGTTCACAAAGCACTTAATATTGCATTCTCGTCAAATCAACTTATTCTTCCTCTCCTATCACGAATTAGGATCAATGCTCTGTTGCGATTCAGAATTAGTTATTTAGACATTCGGTATAAACCACAGTCAAAGAATCGGGTTACTAGAAGCAATACGTTCACCGGACAACACAACATAATAAGACGCCGGCATAATCTATGATCCGAGCGGAGTTCGAACACGCTACCTGCATAAGAAAGCACAGCACACAAAACGTGGGCATACTGAATGACCCAAGCAGAGTTCGAACATATGATCTCACGGTTCAAACGAAACAGTACCATACGCGCTTCAAACAGCCCGACTACATTGGCTACTGGCCTCTTCAGCGTTTCAGAATTACAATATTGATTCTGAAATCGCAATATTAGAGAACGCTTAATAATTTGACGGGTCATCATATATTGATCACTGTTGCCAAAGCAATCGCCAGCTACTGCTGTTACTAGAACTGAATACACCTTGAATGAAAAAAAAAAAGGAAAGAAAAGTGAAACGCAAAGGATGTTGGGTAAAAGTTGTACCCTTGCCCGCCCAGTAGTCTGAAACCTATCAGTCGCACGCATGCACACACATACTTGTAACCTAGATACAGTCAGCGCTGCCTCTGCCACCAGCTGAACAGTCGCCCGGAATTCTGTTACACACGCGGACACTTCGAGACCGGACAGCTTCTTCTTTCTCCCTGGATGTGCACACACCACCGCAAGCTAGCATTGTACTCAACAACTTGTGTGGGGAAGAACTTTTAGTGTAGAATCAGGGGTCTGCGCCGTGAAGACCCAGCAAGCCAGCGTATATAAGAGAGCCTCTCGTCCGGACACCAACCAATAAATATTAAACGGGAACAAACAAATGGTATCTTTTCTCTCTTTCTCACTCGTTCTTCTTTCATTCTTACTGTCTCTCCTTATTAGTTGTCAGTTTGTTTCTATAGATCTTCCTTTCTCCATCCTCTTCTCCGCCTTGATCATGCGATCCACCTGTCCACCTCGCTCTCAACTGCATACACACAGCGTTGTATGTGAATTGCAGTCCCTCGCCAGCAAACACGTATCACTAAATCCCTGCTTGACGTTCTACAATCCATCTTCTTCAGTTCCTCCAGTCCTCCGCCCGCCTGCTTGTTCATTGTCCGATTGTATATCATTTATTCAAGTCCCCGCTCCATCTTTCTTTGTTTTCTTCCGTCTTTCGTTTATCTTTCCTTCAGTTCGCATACATTGAGTTTATTCGATGTGTGTGTGTGTGTGTGTGTGTGAGTGCGTGCGTGCGTGCGATTATAACGTTCCGTTCTGTCGTTTCACGTATTGAGGAAACTACATATGAAGTTACGCAGTCATCTATCAATTGCAAGGAGATGAAAGGAAAGCACGAAAAAAGAGGAATTAGTAAAAGAAAAATATAATAATCGAAAAAGTTAAGATAACCCGATGCATGGCTCATAAACCAACTGTCAAGCACGGTTTGCTGCTGTCGGTGAGACCGGGGCCAAGACGAACACTTCGCCGGCAGTCGACGGCCCACCTCCCGCCCCGTGACTTCGTTTACATCCCCAGCCGCACTTCAACTAAATTCAACACAACCTGTTTACACTTTTTCGGGGGTTCTTACAACCATCCTCTCCCCATACATCTCTCTCGTTTACCTGTTTCATTTAAAAGTCGAATGACTGCATGTGGTCAAAAGCTGCCTTTTCCTGTGACAGGATATTTTATTCTTAAGGCTGGACGCTCAGAGAATGGGATGGCTTGGAACGGGGGAAGAGAGAGCTGGTCCAAAGCACGGAGGAACTTGCCAAGAAGGTGAAAAAAGGGGGAGAATTGAGTATTGAAATTGGATGGACAAAAATCCTCTGAACCACGAACGAGAGACGGACATCCCTTAAGGAGAAGAAAATACAAGACGACAGAAATAATTACGACGACATCGACCAATAAATAACACCCTCTACCTTGCTCGCCCTCCCTCCGCTTGAAAATCTCTGACACCCTCCAAACTATCCCAAAAAGACACCACAACAACTTAAAAAGACGATCGACACAGGGAAGGTTTCGCTGGGGGCTGGATAAATGGAAATTGGGTTGCGTAACTTACGTCCCGTTGTCTTCTTTCTTAATAGTTCTGCAGATTCTGAGAAGGGACTGCGAAGAACCGCCTCATCAGAAGCACATGACTTACCCCCATTTCGGCGAGGAAAACCAAACCACCGCTTCCAAGATGAGACGCGTCTGATTCCCCTCGTAAATCGACCAACGTGGGCGTTAAAAGGTGCAACCCACATCCCCAAGAACATGCAGGAATTTGTATAAAACAACCTGAGCTGAACGATGCCTAAGATCCTCGCAGGTGTCAGCATCTGTCGTCAAGAAGAAAGACAGCTTAGTCCACGAGTTTTATCACATTTCCGGCGATAGGCCAGTCCACTATCGTTTTTAGGGAAGGGCAGAGGAGATTCTAAGCTACAAGAATATGCATGTAATTAGAAAGAGGAGAAAGGCGAAAGACAAAAAAAACCCCGCAAACTCTATACCGTGTGCTGTTATCAAACCGAGAAACTTTTTAGAATATCTTATTTACTGAGTTTGTGTTACTGGAAGAGCGCTGTGAAACTCCAATGCTCCGTATTCTCCGTCCTTAAAATTTTCATCTAGACATGAACTTAGTGTGAAATACTTAAGGCTGTTTGTCTGTCCTTTTCACGAACTAGTATTAGACTGCAACGAACAGTCTAAAATCACTAAATAAACACGGAAAGAATTGGCACCTTTTCCTCCATAGAACTTTTTACGCGAGCGTATTTTAAATTGATTTATTCCTAGGTCGTGGTTATTGTAAATTTGTTTTAGATTCGGTTACTGTGGGTTCGGGAGGTGCATGGTTGTAAGCCAAAAATTCAACCGAACCTCAGGGTAATGTAATTCGCGTGGATCCACGTGCAACAGTGACCATGACGATCGCGAGTTCCAAACCTATAAGAAATTCTGTCGTATGCAACAATACGTTCAAATTATACAAATAGGTTTAGTTTATTTTATTCAAGCTAAGGTTGATAATCTGAGTATTCAGAGTTTTCCCTAATGTTTTAAAGGATTGTAATTAGAAGCATTTCCTAACAAATTCACGAATCACTATCGGCCAGAACACTACGAAATCGTTGCAATGAAAATTCGTTACACGTTAGAATAAGTACAAAAAAATAAACCCGAATAATCCTGGCAGAATCGGACTGCAGACGTGAAATTATATCTTTTAGTGAATTTTAAATTGATATTTTCTAAAAAAAATATCAAGGCAAACTGAGTTATTTGATAAAATATTGATATAACGTACTTGTAAGTACAAGCTTGTGTATTAATACATTGATTGAAACCTTATGAGAGGAACCTTATAATACCAAACTGCTTTTCAGGCAGTCCAATTTAAACAACCATATACGAGGTGCGATCGGAAAGTTTCTAGACTGCGCCTATAAAAACCCGTACACTTATCTCAGGTATTAAATTCATCCATCACCCTCGAAGTAGTTCCCCTGGGAGGGAACCCAACGATCCCAACGCCGCTGCCAAGCCTGGAAGCATCCCTGGAAATCTTTCTTTGTCAGCCTGTCAAGCACCATCTGCGATTCTGCCTGAATCTCTTCTATCGTCTCAAATCTCCTTCCCTTTAGCTGAATTGTCATCTGTGGGAAGAGGAAGAAGTCACACGGAGCTTAGAAAGGAAGCTGGGGTCGGTTCTTGCAAGATCTTTAAACTCCTGACAAACGAGAAGTCGATTCTGCTTCTGGGCCTCAGACAGGATGCGTCGCATGTGGAGTTCTTCCTTTAGAATCAGCTGACAGGTCCCATAGCCTATCCCAACAATGTCGCACAAGTCGTTGATGGTACGACGTCGATCTTCGTAACATTTTCGGGCGTTGTGCTCGAAGATGGTCGTCCAGAACGCTCGTCATCATCGACAGAGGTTCGGCCATTTTTAAAACGTGAATGCCACACAAAAGTTGGTGCACGACCCATTGCGGACTCCCCAAATGCTTGCTTTAGCATTTCACAGGTTTCCGTAGCCGTTTTGGCGAGTCTTTGGCAAAATTTGATGCACACGCCATTCCGAAATCGCAGGAGGGTCGGTGTAATGCACTACCAAAACGCCCGTAACTAAGAAACAAATGCTAATTCGATGATGCCGGCTGGCACACTGATTCACTATGAATGTAGGCCGCACCCCCTAGCGGCAGAAGCTCGTACTACATCCGGTTCACCCGCTATTGACACAGTCTTGAAACTTTCCGATCGCACCTCATATTTTAATAAAATTAGAATAAAGCAGTTACATAAATAATTTAGTTTGCAATGTACAGCTTCCAGTGACGTTTTGCGTTCCTCAGAATAAAATAGCAGGTCTATATGCAGGAGTTAGACTGAAGTATAGAAGATTCATACAGCTACAGGCGGTACGAGCGAATACAATAAATGGGCAATATTAGGAAGATGGGGTTATTTCTGCAAAATTATGGTAATTTTAAAGGCAGTTTTAAAACAATTTGGGGTGGAACCCTACACACCGAGTAGTTTTCTGGTCTTCAGTTCTTCATTCGTTACAAATGCAAATTAGATTCTTGGGTTAAGTTTGTAAGGTTTGGGAATTGCTGTCGTACCAGGAAGACACCTTCACTTTCTCTCTTCCCTGCTGCACGTACCCTGCTAGGGGACCACGTAACACACACGAAGAGGGAGGAAGACTTAACCAGTGAATCTTAAGTGAAATTAGGTACAGTTTAAGACAACGTTATATAGCCTATTTTAATTTTATAAGATGGAGGCGTATAGCGGGTGGAGGCCGATACGAGGTGCGGGAATTAAGATAAACCATAACTAGGAGTGAGAAACAAGACAAGGGAGAAGCAACGACTGCGTTTACCCTACACTGGGTAGTTTCACGATGGAATTCCTTTGTAGATTGGCACTGGGACAAATTAAGAGAAACCTATTACTTATAGATAATGGCAGTGACACAAGGACACACAGGACATAAACAGCGCTCGAGGAAATACTTTTGACGCATAACTAACAGATTAAAATTATTCAAAATTCGTCTGCTCGCTAATTCTATGGCATGTTAATAATAATAATAATAATTAAACAGTGGTATTAATTATTATTTTTATTAGCTATATGCAGAAAGAAAGTTGTGATTTTATCACAAGAACATTCTTGTTAAATTTTACTAAATTATCTGTCTTACCTCATTTAATTTCAATATAGTTCCATTGCTATTTGTCTACAAGCAGAGTATCCTCGGTGTTACTGTAAGAAACTTCGACATGAGTGCTTAACGCCTTTTTTCTGGCAGAGGTTCAGCAACGATCTCCACCAGAACCCAGCGAAGATTTTCGTGGTTGTTCCCTCGTTCCTTAATTTCCCCGCCGAAACAAGCAACTCTGTTCTTGGCGCCGAGGAACCCAGGGCAGATTTTGCGGAGTTGAAGCCTCTACCCGTGCACAATCTTCTCGCCAAAACAAAAGTCTTTCGTCTTGTCTTCGTTGTTCTGCCGCGCTTAGTTTCCGAGTTACAGCAACCATCATTATTGGGACTCGAACTCAAGAACTATCCTCTGAAGTTTTCGTGATTTTCTTAAGTCCTTTCAGGGATAGAACGCTGTAATAGCCAACAACAGTCCCCTGCCATTTTCTTACCTATTCATCATTGTCGATAATTTTCCTGTGTCGTTCGACAAAAAAGAGACTAATAAACTTCTACGTGTGGTAATAACAATAATAAAAAACACACAGTAGGTGGAGGAACTATTGGCCATGGCAGTTGTCAGCTAGGCGTAATAACTATTGTGTTGTGGTCAGTAATGCAAGTCGAGAATCCCTTAACAGTATTACCATTGCATCGGTTAGGGCACAATAACAAACATGATGGACATCGGCTGTTATATTAAGAACAGATTAAGGTTTAGAAAATATAATTTGAAGATCTGTTCCAGCATTAGTCAGCAGGTTTATGTCATTAGTCCCAATTTGAGAGCATGTCGAAACGTTTGACATTGGCATTTAACGTTTTAATTAAAGGGATGAGAATACTGAAGTTTCTAAACCGATACTTCATTAATTTTTCTCCTGGTCTGTCTCATGAACCTCATACATAACTGCATAAATTCAACAAAACATTAATATTCGTAGGCATTCATGAAACATGTATGCGAATGACACGAATTTATAATACAAAATTGCTTTTCAACGGTTCTATAAACATCGGACTTGAATAAAAGCAAGAAAAGTCATGATTTTAAATATTATATTTGTTGGATTTACTGCTGTCAGACTGATATACTGTAATAAGATACGGCCACTGTTACGGCATGGCAATAGTCGTTTCATCCGCTCTTTGCATACATCCGCCATCTTTTAATGAAAAATAGAAGCATTCCTTCTAGATGTGATGGCTCAGCTGGTAAGGGTAAACCACTTCACTATCATATAAGAGTCCGTGGCACGCAGATTACCGTCCTGTATTGTTGATGTTGTCGGATGCAGTCTCTGTCGAAAAACAGAGATTTACTGCCGTGCAAAATTAATGCAGTTGAATTCGGGAATACAGGTGACTAGAACAGCCTATAGTATCCGCCAAAATCCTTCTTTAATCATTAACACGGTCTCACAACTCTCACATTTGTAGCCAACACAACGTTACTAAATAATGTGCAAAACAATTTAGATGGGGCTTACTGAGGGTACAGATGCTGGTTCTGAAGATGAGCGACGTCAATCTAACAGAGCGGATTAGTATAACGGTAATGCTCTGCATGTCGAATCTTGACCGGATTATAGAATAGTGACAGTTCCTCCGAGTGGAATCTGCAAGCTGAGAAAAAAACACAAAAGAATGAAAAATTCGTATTGCATATTATTGAATGGGGCTGAACTTCGTGCTTTAAACAGTTGTGTTTAACCAGTCAGTTCTCAATCTGAAACATTCATGGATACAGAAGACGGGATATTTCAGTCAATAGGTGACTGTGTTGGCCAGAATGTACAAATTAGTAGGGAAATTCTTTGCTTGTGGCGGCATTCATAGACATGTAACGTTGTAGTAATATTATCCTTCTAATGGAAATGTTTTGATTGTTTTCTTCAGACTATAAGAGGAACATTAAGTCACACAAGTGAAAGTGTTTGTATAAAATGGAAGCAGAAAATGAGGAACAGCGGATACGACCGATGAACTGTGAATTAAAAGTTTTAAGCAGATCAGACGGTTCGGCAATTTTTACTCAAGGTAGTAAGTGGTTGATTACAGTAACGATACATCTGTTGTTGGCTAATTTCATATTCCAACTGCAATAATGTAAATTGAACTGTAAAAGCAGATTGTAAGAAACGTGGTTACTCTCCTGTCCACGTTTTCACTACGATCGGTACGGATAATTGTTAGGATTCACTATCATAAATATTCACTGTCAAAACCAAATTCCCCATCAGGTTAGTTACATAAGACTGTTATTAAATTTAGTGTGCTGAAAAACAAGGAGTGGTTACATAATTGTCATTTTACCTGAACGCTTATCATGTATCTAGAAGTGCAGCCTAATTCAAATCATCATAATTTATCTAATGCATTAGGTTATCACATTATAAAGGAGTACTGTAATTTCTGTCACACAGTAGGGCATGAATTGGAAGGAAGTTGGACAATACTAAAGTGTCCCTTAGACAATCAGTTACACTGTTGTAAATAATGGTGCACATTAACCAAACTGAGAAGTGAGTCTTGTTGACCACTCATATAATAAATACATTTTTGATTCTTCATTTAGGTAGCTTCTGAGTGATGTGCTGGCTGTTGCTGATAATTGAATATGGGAAAAGCAAAGTAGTTGATGTTTTGAACAATGGTGTCTTTCATAGCATTTGGTTCAACTTGCTTAAAATTGTTGAGTGATTTAATATATGCCTCACTCATCTTTTGCTTATAAATTTCTGAATATGTGTGCTGGACAAAGATTATGAAGTATTCCATAACTCTTCCCTGCTCGTAATGATTCAAATAATCAGTAATCTAATCATCCTAGTGCCCATTCACCTTCTTTAAATTTAGGGCATAAAAATATAAATACAAAATAAAATAAAACTGAAAACTAATAAAAATGTTTGTTGCTTGAATATTCATCAAGAATATTCCTCTTTAATTATTTTTAAATTATAGTTATTATATATATATATATATATGATCTACATATAATATGTGTATTAAGCATTAGGTGTTGATTCACACCATTTCACTGTTTATTGCAGGAGACACTGCAGTTGTAACTGCAGTATTTGGACCTGTTGAAGTAAAGCCACAGCGGATATTGATAGATAAAGCATGTGTTGAAGCACTTTACCGTCCTAAATCAGGCCTACCATGTAAGTAAAGGGCAACATGAATATAAACTTGAATGAAATTAATGTACTGATTGCTTAGTGATATTAATAGTTATGGTTAGACAGTAAAAATTATAATTTGTCTTTTGTTCACAAAACCCTTGTACCAACCAAGAACTGATTATTTACTTGGTGGATCCCTCTGGTACTTGTACTAAAATGCCTTTTCTGGCCTGCATACCATTTTGTGATTGTGATGAATGTAGTGTTACTTCACAGCCAGAATACACGATAGGCTGTAATCTGCACAGCACATTGAAACTTTTTGAGTTGATCTTTACATTTGGTACATATTTGAAACTGTACCTTAGACATGCTCTTAATAATAAAGCATTAAAACAGTTTTAATCATTTATTACTCTGAACAGTTACAATTACAGTTATTATAAAGTTCATTTACAGACAACTGTGTGTGTGTGTGTGTGTGTCTACAAAATCGGTTCATTTATTTTCAGATGTCTTGTAACTTTAGAACTTGAGAATAGGTTTCCCCATCATTAAGTAAAGGTTTGGGATTCAGTTGTGGTTCATTAAAAAGTCGTCCAGGCAAGAAAATTTGTTCATACCTTTTTATCCTGTACTTCCTGATTAACATTTCAGAGATTAGTATTTCAAATTAAATGAGTTAGTTAATCATGAGCATGAAATTACTAACAGTGGTCACAAAATAACTCGGAGCCTGTATGACTGTTACAGATATGCTAGTGGGAGGAACACTAGCATGCTCAGACAGACTCTTTGCTGTCTTCAGGACAATAGAATGGACCAAAAACATATAAGTGCCGCTCATGCGATTGATTTTCTGTGAATTTATCTTGCTCCCCTGTGCCCATTCCATATTCCCTTCCTTTCTTTCAGTGACATAGCTGAAGCTTGCAGTTATGATGTGGCCACTGTACTAGAAGCTCAGGATCAGTTCTATGTATTTTCTAGGTGTACATGACAGGATGCATGAGTCACTGCTTCGAAACACATGTGAAACTTCCCTGCTTGCTACCCTTCATCCGAGAACGTCAATATCGATCATAATACAAGAGATGCAAGACTCAGGTGGAGTAAGTAAAATTTTCTGTGTAATAAAACTTTGAAATTTATATAGTTATGCAATGATGAAAGGAGATAAAGTTAATATTTATTATATGTACTCCAACATTTATTTTGTTTATTAAACTCCTTGGACAATCAGAGTAGAACCCCAGCATTTCAGACACTACTGTATCTTTGCCTCCGTCATCAGGGATAGATTGACATCCATTTTAGTTTATAGTGATATGGATTGTCTTTGGAAGATTTCATTGCATTTTTTTAACCACATGAGCTTAAAGTTTTACAGTGCTGAAAGTAGATAGAATTATTTTATTGCATTGGAACATTGTTACAGCTCTTGGCATGTGCAGTCAATTCAGCTTGTCTTGCACTAATGAGTTCTGGGATTGCAATGAAATTTTTAGTTGCTGCAGTCAGCTGTATGATCAGTCAAGAAGATAAATTACTGATTGATCCAACCAACAAACAACTTAAGGTATGATGTGTTCAGCCTATGTCATTATATAGGACATTCCTGATTGATACACAATATATTCATTACTGCTTGATAA